CTCTCTCTCTCTCTCTCTCTCTCTCTCTCTGGCAAGCATGCACGCCCCATGGCAAACTTAAAAATAAAAAGTACTATTATGGGCAAAGGATATGCGTCCTAAACCAATACCTGGAGATTTTCATTCTCTCCCGTATGTTCCGACCACTCAGCCAGACCAGTCCAAGGTTTCTGATCACCGCATTGCATGTTTGTTTCCTGAAGCTAATTTTACCATCTTAGGCTCTTTGGGCTTTGCTTCTCTGCACTGAGGGCAGAAGGAAACTATAATGAAGAAAAGAATGTACATTTCTTGTTCTATTATCTTGCCTACCAAAACGGAAACTCTCTAAATCTTCTCTCAACCTTAACAAACCTTTGGGTTATCGGAAGCACACTAGTTCTAAAAGATCAACTTCCTCAGTTATGCCTTTCAGAGGTCCCCAAATATCAATTTTTAAGTAAACCAACACACAAGATAAATATTTTAACTACCATTTTATTTCCATGCAGGCCAAGGGACAATTTAGAAAAGGTTCCATTCTAAGTACATAGCCACGGAAGTGTAAAAGGGCCGGCGATGCCGTTGTTTTGAAGTTGGCCTGTCAGTCATCATGATTGAAACATAACCCCAATGGCTTCCACAAGTGTAATAAAATGCTCCGTGAAAGGTTGCAGAATTGCAGGATGTAATAAAGTCTGCTTAGCTTCATTTCCAATGCCGCCGAATCCTGGAGAATGAGGCCCATTTCCTTATGCCTTGGGATTTGTTCGAGTTACTTTCATGCCTGGAAATAACAAACATAGAAACAGACATTTCGTTAGAACCAATTGCATTTTTTGAGTCATGGCAATAAAGGAAATATAAGATTTTTTTTTCTGTGGATAAATTCTTAATCTGTTGGATTGCCACTCAGCGTTTTATAGGCGGCCGTGTTGACGTGGGCGGGTCACATGAAATAGGTAGATTCTTCCCCACCTGATCTGATGATGATGCTGATGCTCAGGCATAGATCCCCAATTTTCTGGGGCTTCTGCCACAGCCTGTGCCTCCCGAGGTCAGCTGCCTGGTCTTAGAGTCTGTGTTATCAATACCAAGCTTATGTACAAAGGAAGCCTTTATTGAGTAAGAACAGGCTCCTGCACGTAGCCATCGTCAGAACTGCACACTGAGTTTGTTAAAAAAAAAAACAAAAAACAGATTTCTGCATTCTTTGCTTTCTATTCCGACTTGGCAGCTCTAGATGCAGTTCAGTAATCTGTGTTTTTTTTTTTTAATTTATTATTTTTTTAGAGAGGTTTCCGCTATAGGGCATGTGCACTCACCAGACAGACAGAGAGAGACAGAGAGACAGAAAGCGAGAAATCACCCCCCAGGGGGATGGCCACGCCGCAATCCCTTCTCCTCCATTCTCCTCTCAGGATCTTGGGCACGCACACACATGTGCCTGGCGTGAGTTTTAAGCCACCGGGTCTGGGACGTGAACCGCGGTCGACTACGTGGGAGTCCAGTGACATAGCCATTATGCTAACTGCTGGTTCCCAGTAATCTGTGTTTTTAAAATAAACTCTCCATATGACTCTGAGGTGCTCAGCCCCAAGATTCGAGGAAGCATTGCGTTAGTGTGTGGCAGGCAGCGTCAGCTTTCCTTCAAGGCTAAGATACCTGAAGGATTTAGGGCAGGCTTAAAGCAGTTTCTACTGATAACACGGGAGGGTGGAGGGTGGTGGTGGGTAGAGGCCTTGAATGTTAGTTGGCAATAAATGAGAAAATTTCTTGGTGGGGTAGTAGTATAGTGGCCAGGACCCAAACCCAGGAGGACACAAAAATGCATGCCATGCTCTGATCCCCTGTGCTGGAACCTCAGCTTCTGGGCCTTAGTTATTGGCATCAATAAAATGAGTTAGGTCAGGAACCAGGTTAGCTAGGACAACTAGCTTGGAGGACATCAAAAGCAGAGTATTACAAGAAAGAAAGCATTAAATAGAAAGGGGAGGATGATGAAGGCCTCATGGATTATATTTCATAAGTTTGGGGAAGACTGAAGGGGCACTAGGAGGTGCTCAGGGCAGCTATCGTGGGTGTGATGTATAAAGAGATTTTCAGAAATAATTGTTGAGAAGTGCCCGTTGACTTCCCCTTCAGTGTTTTCAAGAAAGGTCAGAGAAGATTGACATTGTTCTTGATTTATTGTTTGCCATTGGTGGCGTTGAGCGCAACACTGTGGACATAGACCTAGGAGGCTGAGGTGTCACGGCCCCACGCCCACCTTGGTGCCAGTGTGTAGCTCAATCCCCAACGTGGGCCCGTTCAGCCCACCTCGGTGAGGATACACCGGGACACATTTCAGCTCTGGTCCACAGAGGAAGTTTTCGGCAAATTTCACACTACAAATTAGTGACACGATCAGAGAGAAGGGTAGGGCATCCTTTTGCAATATATCTGGTCTCTTCTGGGATCTAGAACAAAAACCTAATCACTTCTGCTTCTAACCCGTATCAGGAGGTCTCTCACCAATTCTCAGGATCAAGCTTCCCCAGGCCCAATAGCGTCTGTGCTGGTGGAGAGAGGGTCCCTTTCCCCCGGTGAAGCAGGGACCTGTCTCTTTCTCATATAACATTAGGATCATCCCCTACGGTGCCAGCACCACCCACCTTGCCTGAGATACAGGTCATCTCTCGATCATTCATCATCGCCCTTGTCCTTGAACAATTATTGACTTTGAGTCACAGGTACCTGTGCAGGCCTTAAAATGGATGTGCCCTCTCTTTTCCTCTGCCTCGCCTGTCTAGGGCAGATTTATGTCCTAGGAGAAGTTTCCTTCAGTTTTATTTTTGGTCTTCCGAATGCTGTGGCCCTGTGTTACTTCCCACACTTGCCCTTCCAGCACCAGCCCTGTAATTTCTAATCTCGCAGAAGCCTCTATCCATGCCTGAGAAGGCTGCCTGTCAGTCAGAAGGCTGCCAGTGCTTCTGTGACTCATCCCTCACATAGCCTGGCATCCCGATGTCTGCCTAGCTTCTACAAGTGTGTCTTCAGTGGTTTTATTTGCCCCAACTCATCTGGGATCTCGGGGAAGCAAAGTCTGCTTCATGCCAGAGCTCTCTGGCTCAATATGGGCCCCGAGGAGGGAGGATCTGAGTTTCAGTGTCAGCTGCATTGTTCACTTGCTGCGTCTCCTCCAGGCACTGTGACTGTGCTGTGCTGGGGGTGCGGAGAGAACTGGGAGGGTTAATACGCACAGAGCCCTTCCAGCTGTGCCCAGCATACGACAGCGCCTGCTTGTGTTGCCTCTGTCATCACTAATGCTGTGTATTTATTATTCCATGAGTGAGAGACAGCACCCCCAGCAGGGTCTTGACACCGTGATCCACTCCCAGCTCCAGCCAGCCCCAGCCCGCAGGCATGTGCACACACGGAACGCTCCCATGTGGGTTGGACTTGCAGAGCATCACGAGCCCCTGCTGTGTCCCCACCTGGCCCCTGTGATTATTCCTTGTACTGCATTGCCAGCCAGAGCGCCTGTGTGTCACAGGTGTCAGAGCGACTGAAAACACTGCAGTCAGTGACACAGAGAAAGACTGAGCCTGCTTACTGCAGGGGCTACATCTGGCCATCTCCCCTGTCTTCTAGTTGGGTTTTATACACATCGTGCCCTTCTTCAAACCTCCAGTTTCCTTTGCCGTCACCACTAGCAGAGACAGCCATGCTGTTCACTGTTACCTGGGCACATCAACAAAAGGCTTACAGAAATGGGAGTAAGGCCCTGAAGGGGGTGCAGAACAGTGAATGGTTGTGTCCTCAGGGAACTTCTGACCCATCTGGGGAAACATTTTGCACAGAGTGAGGCAAGGTAGTAGATAAGCAGGTGTCGGGTGAGCAGTGCAGAATATGTGGGCTTCTGGGATTCAGAAAACAGAGAGAAGGAGCTCAGAAGGTCCAAAGTCTGACTGGTCCTTGTGAACATACATGTTTTTAAATTTGCAGTTATTTCAAAGTTCCTAATAGACATGCAGGTAGATTAACTGCCCTCCTCCCCTCACAACCACCGCCAGGGGTGTGCGTGAGAAATAACCGGTAGTCTGATGTGCTCACTATTGGGGTTTATGTTGCGCAGTAGTTGAATGATGGCAGGAGGGATGCTCTGTTGCTCTGGACAGTGCAAGAAATTTTTGGAGAGTGCAGCTTGAATTTGGAAGGAAAATTAAAATGTCTAATGGAAGAACTTCAAGTTTTGAATATGGCTTGCTATGTGGGATAGACTGAAACTTTATCCATCCCTCCCCAAAACCTACCAGAAAGTCCTTGAAGTCGGTTTGTATTTTGTTGTATGATTCGGTGGGCACAGAGTGAAAGCAGAGGTACCAGCAGAGCCCGACCTGAGCTTCACACTGAGCCTCACTGACTTCTTGAATGCCCAGATGTCAGCAGGCTCCATCAGGCTTTCTCCACAGCCTCTTATGGACAAAGGCGTATGCAACGCCTTTACATTTCACTAAGTGTTAATGAAGGAGTCTCCTGCCTCCTGCTCCATTTCTCTTACATTCCCACAAACCCAGAGGAAGAAAGCTTGGAAGCTAAGAAAGTAAGTTTATGTCTCTCTTTTCTGTAGGTGGACCTGGATGAGAGCTGCCAACAGCCATTCTAGCATGATAGAGTGTAAAAAAAGTCACTTGTGGCCACATGAACCCAACAGGCCTTCCTTCTGTTTTCTTTAAGGTCATATTTCTTGATTTGGCTGCTTATTAGAGTCATCTGGGGTGGGAGAAACTGCCACATCACCATCCCACCCCCTGGGTTTTTTTTCCTAGAGAGAGAAACATGAAGAACTGATGGGGGATCCCATCAAGCTGCCATCCTCCCATAGCTCCCAGCCCGCAAGGATCATGGATACTCACTCCATGTGTTCAGGTGGAGCTGGGATCTGAACATGGGCCTCTCATGCAGTTCCAGTCTTGTTCAGCAGTGCCCTACCACCTGCCCCACTGAGGTTGGGACTCTCAGGGATTCTAATCCAACTGATCTGGACCCTGGGCCAGGCCTCTGCAGGGGAATCATTGGATGTGGTGATGACCAGTTCTAAGCCTGTCTCCTCTTTGATCTTATCCCAAATATCCCAAAGTGTGCTCCCAATACAATGCTCCGAGTGCCCCAAAGCGATTCAGGGACTGGAGACAAGTTTCAGTTGCAAACATGCAGCGTCTAGCAAGGTTGTCTATCTTTTGCACTCTCAGCAGAACCACACAAATAGGACAACTGTAGTCCTTCAGGAGTAGTGCTCCTGGCCTGTGAGGCTTAACAAACAGCCTGTTCTGCACCCATGCCAAGGCTGATACAAAAATGGTTTTAAAATGAAGTATCCCCACTCACCAGTAAAACAGTCCTGAGACACTCACATGAAATTCCCCCTTAACAATTCTTCCTTTAAAAGTAACACTTCTTAGTTCCTAGCTGGCTTAGAGATGCAGGCCGAGGCAGCCATGAAAAGCCATTCTGCTCACACCAAAAACAAGGTGAGCAATTTTCTGAGGGCAGGCACCCCTGGCCTTTGCTTTTCAGCTTTTTCTTAATAAACTGGTCTCAGAAATTGGACCACAAAAACGGCTGGTGCAAACTCTTACAGTAAGTGGGGAAAGAGGAAGCTGAGGGGGACATGGCAAGGATCAGGGAGCCATGTTGATTAGTATCTCCAAGGAAATGCAATTACGCTCCCGTCTAGAGATGGGAAGGAGTTACCCCAAGAGCATGGCCAGACACCGAGCAGTGTGGATGGGCTCGAAGAGCAAG